TCACTATGCCACCCAGGTTGGTCTTGAACTCCTGGCCTCAAGCAATCCTCCTGCCTCAGCCTCCCAAAGCGCTGGGATCACAGGTGTGAGCCACTGCACCCGGCCAACACTTTCACTTTTAGAATTTATTGTCGAATAGATTCTAAACCAGAACGACTCCCAAAACATGCCTGTGACTGCTCCTTCCAGTGTCATAATAGCGCAAGAATGGCAATACCCCAAAGGTTCACCAAACGGAGAATGGCTTACTGTGAAGCCACTTAAACCCGCCAGTGGGAGTGTGACGCCACAGCAGACGGCAAGCTTGTGCTGCTGGTGTCGCTAGCGCGTGACGCAAAGAGGCAAACACAGTGTGAGCTTAGTTTCATGAAACAACGCCTCTACGCTCATGCTTACGCCTAAATACTGGCTTGAATGAGTCACCTCTGTGACGAGGGTCACCAGAGATTTGCTCTTCCCTAGCTCTATGTTTGTATCGTGTCGGGATCGTTTTTACAAGGATCACATACTAATTTGTGAGCAAATAATAAGCTTTGTTTTTTCTTTTTCTTTTAAAGATGTGGGGTAAAATTCAGGGCTAGGTATACAAGTGGTCATCATACAGGTAAAGTTTGGGCCTTACTTTGGTCCCCATTTCGCCTGCTTTGAGATCAGGTACTTTTACCGATGAGGTGTCCTCCACCCCTGCTCCCTTCCCTGGCAGGTAGCGCTACTGCCAATTCCTTTCTTATAGCATTATGATAATTGTTCAGGGTCCACTTATGAGTGAGAACTTGTGGTACTCTGTTCTTTGTTTCTGTGATAGACCACTCAGCATTATAACAAGCATGGTTACCGGCCCCGCTCAGACACCACCTCCCACAGACTGTGCTGCCCACGGCTGTCCACAGAGCCACCCCTGGGTCCCGGGATGGCTGTGCACTGGGTGTCGGGAGGTGTGCATAGCCTCTGGGTTGCACGCCACATCCTCCCACTGGACCATGAGCCTGTTGGGGTGAGCGCTGGCCTTTCACCTCCTCCGTAGACCCACCGGGGGCCTCTCGCAGGGTCCTTGCAGTGGACAAGTCCTCAAAGGTCAGAGGAGAGGAGTGTGTTCCAGCCTTGCTGGGAGGCCACCGCCCTAGGGGCTGGGTCCCTGTTCCCGGTCGGAGGAAGTCACTTGCACAGTCAAGCCCACCCTGGCTGGGGGCCCACAGGCTCTCTGTGCTGTGACCCTGGATGGGTCACACGCAGGCCTATTCCAACCCGTAAAGGGGGTGGGAGTTGCCGGGTCCCAAGCCTGTCTGCCTCCCTGCACATGGGGCTGCTGGTGAGGCCACAGGCACGCATGGCTCTGCTGGCCCGAGAGGGGCCTGTGGGGTTGGCGTCGGCACGCTGCTCTGAATCCTGAGGAGGTGGGGACAAGGCCTGCGCTGACAGTGTCCTCTCTCCCCTGTGCCCTTCCCTCTGGCCACGCCCATGGTGTCCACCAAGTGCTTCTTTCTCAATCTTTTTTTTTTCCTTTTTGAGTCGGGGTATCAGTCTTTCACCCAGGCTGGAGTGCTGTGGTGCCGTCACGGCCACCGCGGCTTCAGTCTCTGGGGCCACGCCGGTTTCCCCCCATGCCCATGGTGGTATCAGTCCTCTTGTCTTTCAAGTCGCTTCTGGGCCCAGGAAGTCGGGCCCCACACAAAACAGCCATGTCACTCTCAGAAAGACAGACAGACTGAGGGACAGGGAACAGCAGCTGTGCCCACTGCAGACAGAGCAGCACAGGGCTCCCAGCATGGTGGCCACGTTGCCTCCGGCCCCGAGATCGTGGGGGAAGCCTCGTGGCCCCCAATGGCCAAGATGGGGCCCCAAAGAACAAGGTTTTGAATCGAGGGGGCCGAGTGGCCTGGCCGAGCGCTCTGTGCGGAAGGGCAGACATGCAGGACAATATTTACCCGCTGGCTCGCTCTGCTCCCTGGCCGGCTGCTGCACTTAGCAAACAGCACTTAATCTCCCGCCTTTGACAGTTGCTGGAAAACCGAGCTACCCCTCTCTTTGTTCTGTCCTCTCTCTCCCAGCTCAGCAGATGTTTAGCCCTGTGAGGCCCAGCTCAGGAGGCCACGGCTTCCTTGGTCTGCAGGCTGCGGTTCAGTCACACAACTCAGGGGACGTCTGGCATCAAGTCCTGTTTAAAGATTCCCTCTGCAGGGCCACACGTGATCGTCCCAGGTCAGGGGCCTCTGCTCCGAGTACACAGTGTCAACATGTGACTGCCCCACATTAAGGGTCCCTGCCTCCAGGACACGTGTATCAACACGCAACTGTCCCACATCAGGGTTCCCTGCCCCCTGGACACTTAGTGTCAACACGTGACTGTCCCATAGTGTCAACATGGGGCTGTCCCACGTCAAGGGTTCCCACCCTAGGATACGTGTGTCAACAGGCGACTGTCCCCCATTAGGGGTCCCCGCCCCCAGGCCTGCCTCCTCCTGCCTGGGTTCACAACACTGCCCACGTCCCAGCTGAAACCCCCAGCTCTTGTTGCCATGAGTAACACAGCCCCTTCGCACCCTGCAGAGCGGAGAGAGGCTTCCTTCCTCTGCAGCAATAAGACGGAACTCAGGGGTCTGCAGAGGACAAGCCCTGGGGCCGGCACACTCTGGTCTCTCCACCTCAGGGTTGAGCGTGGAGCCTGGGTCCCGTGGGCACTTAGTAAATGCTAACTGAGGGCATTCGCTGGCAAGCCTCGCCACTGGCACGCCTTCCCGGCTCCCTCTCCTTGACCGGCTGGCATCACGGCTCCAGGACCGGTGTCTCCGTCGTGGTGCATGGGGGCGTATGGCAGCATCCTGACCCCCCACGGGATGCCATGTCACCCCTGCTGCAGTTTCCACGTTAGGAATGCCTTCAGCTGTTGCCAGTTGCTCCAGGCGATGCACCTGCCCCCTGAGAGCCCCGGGCTGGAGACCCTTCCCTTCTCATTCACATAAATCAATGAAGATTGAAAGACACAGCACGAGAGCACCCCTTCCGGCTTCCTCCTCGGGCTGCCCTTTGTCTTTTCCCACATGTGTCTGGGGACGTGGGGGCTGTGTGGCCTGCACGCAGTGTCTGGGGGGCTGCAGGAGCCGTGGCCTCTGGTCACTCCCACTGGGCAGTGGAACCAGATGCTGTGAGCCATGGGCGGCCAGCCAAAGCCTCAGCCTCGGGCCGGATCCCTGAGTGGCTTTCAGACATCCTCCAGGCCAGAGGCTGGGATGTGCTCTCGCACCCGACCCGCCAGCTCTGCGTTGTGGGTGGCCTCCTGGCCGGCCTCCGCAGACAGGCCTCCTCACATATCCGCCGGGACCCTCACCTTGAAGTCTCCCCAGAGCGTAGGAGAGTCACGAAAATCTTGGCAGAAGCAAGGAGCCATGCACGGCGCATCACAAGCCCACCCGGCGACTATCATTGTGGACTCGGGCACGCAGCCTCACGGCTCCCTGGGAAGGCCTCGTGACCTGTGCTGACGGCTGAATGGTCACAGCGAGTGTTGTCCCCACCCCGGGGCCACCGCTGAGGCCAGAGGCTCCCGGGAACGCCAGCTCAGCCTCTGGTCTGCACAGGAACGGTGACGAGACAAGGAGGCCCTACGCGTCCTTGGAGTCCCAGGCAGGGCTTCCCGTGGAGAAGCCAACTCTGGTTGCCTTAGTGAGGGGAGAGGGGCTTGGAGGATTTCAGGGAGAAATGGGAAAAGCAGAGGAAGAGCCTCAGCACCCCTGAGGCCTGGACGGCACGGACCGTGGTGGGGCTGGGGGCTCCTAAGTGCTGGTGAACTTGACACGAGACCTCAGGACCTCGTGGAGCGAGGCAGGGGAAGGTCCAGGGCGTCCGTTTATCCCCTTCAGCAGGTTGGTGCAGAGAGCACTTATTATTTTTTAAAGAGACAGGGTCTCACTGTCTGTCAGGCTGGAGTGCAGTCACAACACGGTCACAGCTCGCAGTCGCCTCCGACTCCTGGGCGGCCTTCTGCTTCGGCCCCCCCAGGGCTGGGATGACAGGTGTAAGCCATTCCACCCGGCTCTTAACTCTGTTCATCGTAAAATGCACAGGTGTGGTTGGCTGCAGGGTGTCATGACAGTAGGTGACATGCTCGGCCTTTGGGTGGTGGTGAGAGGCACAGCCACCCCTCAAAAGTGTTAGCTAAGTTCAGGTAAGACGTCTATACCCGATGAGCCCCAAACGTGGAGGCAAAAACCCATCTGAGCCAGGGTGGGGGCCCCGCCTGTGTGCAGATGAGGAATTCGTTCCCAACGGGCCGCTTATCACGTCCTCCCTCGGCCTCAGGGAGTCTGAGACAAGAGCTCCAGGTCCAGGGCGGGCCTGGGCCTGACTTCCACTCTGGGCCTGGCGTGTGTCACCACCCAGCAAGGACAGCCCCGTGTGTGCCAGGCAGGGCGGGGGTGCCCCTTCCCAGCGGGTCACCCACGTCCATCAGCAGCCCTTCATGAGACACAGGTGGGCTGAATACAGTGACCTGCACACACGGAGGCAGGGAGGTAGAGGGAAGGCCAAGGGCACGCCTGGCAGCATGGTAGCGTAGCAGGGAATTCTGTGAGGCGTGCTCCCAGCACAGCAGGACAGGCCCTCACGCGGGCTCCCTGTGGATGAGCTGCTGGCGTTCTGGGGGCCGATGGATCGTTTTAGGTCCAAAGACGCCAGTGAAGCAGCCCTGCCTCCCCAGGGTCGGCGGCGGGGTGGGGCTGCTGCTTTCGGAGGCCAGCGTGTTGAGGGCTCAGCCCAGGGCACGCTGACGCTGCGCCAAATGACACCAGAGCGGGGAGGCGGGGAACTGAGTCAAACCGGGTGACCCGGGGCCAGGAAAGGGGACCCCGCTTGAGACCCGCATTCCAGAACCTGCAAGATGTGAAACACACTGAAGCCGCTCAACGACAGCCACACTCTTGCAGGCAGGCGGTGCTCATCGAATGAATGAACGCACACACGCACACATGCGTGCTCTAACCTCCGAGTCACCTGCCCACGCTCACCTCAGACTCCTTGTAGTAGCGCTCCGGAATTTCATCGCAGGCGATATCAATGAAGCACACCTCTCGTTCCAGGTCTTTGGCCTCATTGTCAAAAATCTGAAAGGGAGGAACAACAGACGGAAGGTGAGTGACACCAGGGACGCCCTCCAGAGGGCCCGGGGCAGAGGACTCCACGGGGCGCCCTTGCCCACCCTCACCGGAAGCGGGCGTCACGGCATGGGTTTGTCACCGCAGAGGCAGAAGCCGCGCCCGCCACGCGCAGCGCGGGGAGGAAGGCGGGCCGAGGAGAAGCCAGGACATGAGCCCTCCCCACGGAAGCCTCCGGTGGGGGCAGCTCCTGGGGGGAAGGGGCTGAAAAGGCGCCGGTGGGACCCCAGGCCAAGGGCGGGGCACGGCCCAAGGGCTAGAGACGGAAAACACATGTCTTTCACATGTGGTTCATTTCATGAGAGACACACGCCCACTGCAGAAAATGCAGATGAACCACAGTGCCATTGCCCAGGGATGAACGGGGTGTTTTCCTTCTCCTCTGCGTCTTCTTTTTAGTTTTCGAGTCTTGCTCTTGGCTGGAGTGCGGTGGCACCATCACGACCCTCACAGCTCACTGTGGCCTCGAGCTTCTGGGCTCAGGCGATCCTCCCACCTTAGCCTCTCAAGTAGCTAGGACTACAGACGTGCGCCACCACGCCTACTAATTTTGCTTATTTTTTTGTAGAGGTGAAGTCTTGCATGTTTCCCAGGCTGGGCTGGAGCTCTTGGGATCAAGCAATCCTCCCACCTTGGCCTCCCAAAGTGTTGGGATGACAGGTGTGAGCCACTGCACAACGTCCTTGGTACACATGGGGGAAAAGGGAAGCTTGGTGAGAGCCTGAGGTGGCTCTTGCCAGTCACTTGAGGGTCCCCGAGAAACACACAAGGGCAGTCATGGCAGGCACCTGCTGTGGGGCCAGGCCGAAGCCCTCAGCTTTTCCTCTGGCCGCTTCTCTGATCCAAGGGGATGATCATCCTTCTGGAGGACGGTAGACAGATAAAGCTTGGCAAGCAGCATCGTTCTTAGAGGAAGTCCCCCCCCATTTGTCAATTTACTTTTGAGTTGGAGTCTCACTCTTGTCGCCCAGGCTAGAGCGCCGTGGCATGCTTGCGGCCACCGCGGTTTTGACCTGCCAGGCTTAGGCGATGCTTCCGCCTCAGTCTTCCAAGTAGCTGGAACTACAGAGGTACACCACCGTGCCTGGCTAGTTTTTTGTGAATTATTGTGGAGACGAAGTCTGACCAAGTTGCCCAGACTGGTCTGGAATCTCCGGGCTCAGGCAATCCTCTCGCCTCGGCCTCCCAAAGTGGCTGAGACACTGGTCCTGTCCCCGCCAAGAGTCTGGAGTGCCGTGGTATGATCATAGCTCACTGCAGTCTCAACCTCCTGGGCCCGCCCCCCCCCAATTTAAAAGACTCTGCAGTGCCGTGGTGTGATCATAGCTCATGTAGCCTCGACCTCCAAGCAGCTGGGACTACAGTTGCATGCTACCATGCCTGGCTAAATTAATTTTTTTTTTTTTTTTTTGTGGAGACGGAGTCTTGCTATGTTGCCCAGGCTGGCTTCAAACTCCTGACCTCGTTATCCTCCCGGCTTGGCCTCCCAGAGTGCTGGGATTATAGGCACGGGCCACTACGAGGTACCTACTAAGTGCTCCACGCTGAGCCTCTGAGCATGTGGAAGATACAGCCACTCTCAAGGGGGTGGATGACTTTGTGGAGACCAGGTTAACTGCAAGACTTAGCCACCATAGAACACAGAATCCCTACATTGTCCAAGTACTAAGGACGACAAGGTGTGTGCTCTGGGGGAGGCACCTGGTGCAGATCCAGCAGGGAGGGGAAATAGCCAGGCTGTGGTGGACCCGGGCCAGGACTGTCACCTGCTGCAGGAGGGTCAGGAGACAGCTGGGTGTTGCAGGAAAGGAGGACCCCGCCTCACAGCGAGCCAACCGGTGTGGTTTAGGACGCCGGCCCGGACAGCTTGGGGCTGCTGAGATTTTCATCAGGGGCCCAGAGAACCAGCCACGGCACGGGGCGAGGGGTGGCTCAGGGGGACAATGCCAGGTCCCCTCCTGAGCTGGAAGTGGACCCCACCTGGTCTTTGTAGGAGGGGCGCGCCTGCCTTAAACCTTCCAAGTGTTGCGCTGGCCATGGGATCTGGGGTATTAAAGCTGTGTGCAGGAGACTTGGAATCAGGGCAGGCTGGGTAAGCTGTCACCGTGTCTAGGCCCTGGCGTGGAGGGGAAGTGTCCTCTGAGGCCAGGAGAGGGTGCAGAGCAGACACAAGGCAGGCACAGTATGTGAGTGGCTGAGGACATCCTGTCCCCAGTGAGGTGGGGACCAGCCAGAACACACTGCTGGAGGGGCGGGTGAGGGGGCTCCGAAGACTCTGCGGTCCTCAGTGGGACTGGTGGACGTGCTCGTGCTTCCTGTGCTGCCCTGAGTCCTCTCACTGCAGCTCGGTGACCCTCTGGTCCGCGGGGCCTGTGTTCCTAAATAGAGGGACCTGGGCTTAGTGGTACCTGCAGGCGGCTCCAGCCCTGGGTCCTCGGGGTGGCCGATGCAAAAGTGGGGCTTTTCGGGCACAAGCCGGGACGTGGGTACACTGCGGTGGACAAGTTGGCAGGTGATGGCACACGCCTAGGCCCACTGGGTCAGATGCACTGGGGGTGGGGGTGCAGAGCTGGGGATGGCCTGCTCTAGAGGAGCCTGGGGGCGGCCTCAGGTGGAGATGGAGGTGCCCGCGGGCCGGGCAGTGGCAGGGATGCGACATGCAGGGTGCTTGGGGCCGCAGGAGGGCTGCTGGCCCACGGAGCGCCCGCAGCAGAGTGGGAAGCCAACGGGGGCCTAGGCCAGGGCACAAGCAGGAAGAACCGCAGGCCTTAGCTGCCCGCGGGCACGGTTTAGACCCGGGGCATGCGGGCGGGAGGCCTCTTGTTCTCCAAGCAAGTGTCCTGGGTATCACCCTCCAGCGCCCTCCTGGTGAACCTCTTCGGGCAAAAAAGGGACGGGCACCGGCCTCCAAACCATGGGAGGATCCTGAGAGACAGCCCCTACCGCCAGCAAAAGTAAAATGCGGGAGCAAATGCAGGAACCAGCTGCCACTCTCCTGGGGAGAGGGCTTTGTTTGGTTTGCATTCTCCTTGATAGCCTGTCATCACCTCCCAGGGCAACAGGGACCTCATCAGGGCCTCCGGTGGGCACCACACACCCCCAGGCCCCTGACCGGAAGGCTTTTCCTGGTGGAGGGGCATCTGCTGCCTCCTCCCCGCCTCAGTGGGCCGCCTCTCACAGATGCTCTTGTGAGTCAGCTGGGGGCTTGAAGTCTTTCTTTTGAGACAGTGTCCGGCTCTGTAGCCCATGCCGGAGTGCAGTGCTGCAATCACAGCTTACTGCAGCCTCGACTTCCTGGTATCAAGTGATCCCCTGCCTCAGCCTCTCAAAGCGCTGGGATGAAAGGTGTGAGCCCCGAAGCCTGGCCTGTGACATCAATGAAAAGTAACAACCTTTTCCCTTTTTTCCTGATCCTAATCACGTGACTTTCTTCTCAGTTCCCCCCTCACTGGGCAGTGGACAGGACTCTGACACAGAGCAGGTACCGCCCACTTCATTTGGACCTGGCGTGGGCTGTGCCCTCTCAGAGTAGATGTCTGGGTCACTGAGGGGGCATCACCCAGAGCCCAGCACTGATTTTCAAGGTCTGAATGGCAACTCAGCGTGCGGCTGTCACATAAAGGCACCAACCTTCCCGCTGTTACAGGTGGGAGCCCCCCCCCGCCTTTTCTTTTTTGTGTCTTATTTATAATACTACAGTGAACGCCAGTAATGAAACGCTCAATCTGATTGCTGACGATCTGATAATCTCTCGGAGGTGTCAGACACTGCTCCTGGATTCCAGACCTACGACGTCAACTGGCTGCTGGACTCAGGGCGCAGAGATCACTCGTGGTCAACAAGTTCAAAACCACGCACGTCCTGTCCACCCCCCCTTCGAGCTACGGCCTGGGCCTGTTTCTCCTTGTGGTCCTTTAGCCACCTGCGGTGGAGCCTGGTGTTGCCCTGTGCTCTTATATTCCTTTCTCATTCTCACATCACACCGGCACGAAGCCCTCTGCTCCCACAGCCCCGGCCCTCACCAGTTCATCTTCCGGGCAGATCTTCGTAACTCTGTCTCACGTGGTCCTCGACTTCCTGTCTCTGAAGACTCTGGGCGCCACACCCTTCCTTCCTTCCTTCCCTCCTTGCTCCTTCCTTCCCTCCCTCCATCCACACTCCACCCATGAGTTTCCTTCCCGACATACTTGCTCACCCTCTTCCGTGCTCTGGACACATAGAAGTTTATGTTGGAAGGAGCAGAGCCCAGATGTCACCTGTCTGGCTCTAAGAATCCTGGCTCCAGCACATGGGAGTCATGTGACCTGAGAAACCCCGCTGGGCTCCCATGCACCACTGGACGTGAGCTCTCCAGGTATTCCTCGCCTGCTCCCGGACCTTGCGAACTGGCGGGTGTAACAGGGCTTTGCCACCTCCCACGGGCTCGGCGTCCCACTTCCTGCTGCACACCTTGCCTGAAGAGGCCTTCCTCTCTTCCTTGTTCCGCCTGCCCCACCCGCTCCTGAGAGCCTGGCGCTCGTTGTTCATGCCCCCGGCTCCTCGTCCGCTGCCCCAAAGGCTTGTCCCGCCCCGTCCACACGCATCCACGCCTCCTCCAAGGCCGCTTCCAAGGCTTCCATGACCACCTTCCGGGAAGCATTTCAGGCAAGCAACCCTGTGTGTCACAAATTCCAACTCCACATTTGGTCAGGGCCCCAGTAGAATTGCCAGGGCGTCTCTAGCAGGTGACTTGTCCCGGCCGTTGCTGCTTCTGCTGAGTTGGGGGTCATGAGTCAGGGAACCCCCAGGGAAGGCGACCAATTCTCCCTCTGCTCCGCCCCCACCAGAGCCCAGGATGATCAGTGGTGACAGGCCCGCTGAGATTCTTAAACGCCACGCTCCATCACACCCGGGAGTCCAGGGTACACATCCTGGTTACACTGGTTGGGATGGGGACGATGCCACACCGG